AATTGAATGAAGGCGCGAAACGTTCAACAACTACAGGAAAACCCAGCCGCTCACGTAGTCGTTCACGAAAACGTTCACGCACCAGAAGTCGCAGCCGAATTCGAAGTAATCGACGTAGTCGTGATCGTCGGCGGCGGTTGTACTCGCGATCACGTTCGCGCAGCAGGTCACATGTTCGTAGCCAAAGTCGTAAAAGACGACATCGTTACAGAAGATCACGTTCCCTTTCATATGACCGCTCTAGGCGCAAACATCGGTCTAGGCGCTCCAGTACAACATCGAATTCACGATCTCGATCGCGTTCGCGCGGTGGACATGCCGTAACACATAAACGGCGCTACAGATCGACGAGTAGTTCCTCCCATTGTTCTAGGCGACGAAGTTCTCGCTCCGTATCTAGTAACAGTCGACATTCTGAGCGAAAACGCATACGAAACTCGAAGCACCAAAAAGCACAATCGGAGCATCGTCGTACGCGTACACGTTCAATATCGAAAACGAGAATTTTGCCATGCATTGATGGCAGCTCTATTGCACCGCAGGATTTGACCACACAGAAAGCTCCAATTTCAACTCTGGTAACAACTGTTGCTGCACTAAGCACCACCGCTATACCTATGGTTAGTTATCCATTATCAACGCGTTTGACAGCGATGTCTACAGCAGTCACTGTTGCGACTAAAGCAACACCACCCCCACCACCAGTATCGGCTTCAACAACTACGTCGGCTGCGAACACATCTGGCACAAGTAATGAAATTACAATATTGCCTACAGTGGTGGAACCACCGCCACCACCGCTCAAACGCTACTACGGTCGAAAGCGTGGAGATGATTCATCGGATTCCGATAGTAATTCTGTCTCAGACACGAATGACGACAACAAAGCCACCAAACAACCTGCGCCAATCAGCGGTGAAGGAAACGACAGCGATGAACGCATGGATGTGGATACTACGTAAGTTAAGCGCACGAGGAATGCATCTATGGTAAAGTTGAGCCACATTTAGTCCATTTATTAACATTCATATGTACATACATTTATATTATTTTCAAGCGCCAACATCCGGCAGCTATATATTTGAGTAAAAAAGGCAGGTGCGAATTGGTATTTTAACAAATATGAAACGCACAACCGCGGTCTAACCCCGTTTAAAGCCTCGAAGTCTACAAATCGTTGTCGTTGGCCACACTTGCAATAGTTGGATCCACCTAAGAACATTTTCGGGCCTGTTGGCCAAGTTGCTCCCACACGCTGGTGCAAGCAAGCATCGCAGGAGCCACTTCGGTCGAGCAAAAACTCAACTCGAGTCTAGGTCTTTCGAACAGTCTACACTGTGCCTCAAAAACAGAAAATATCTGAAAATAACCGCAGTCAAATGTAAATGTAAATCCTTGCCGCCGAGCTCTGCAATCGCATACGTTGACTCCGTCGCTGTCAACCTTGCAGTAACACTCACAGCGGCAAGCGCAGCAGAACCAACGTATCCTACGCCTCATGTCTCCTGGGCTTATCTTTAATTTAGCTTGACAACGATTGATAGACTAGCTGAGTTAGTAGTGCACCTACAACAACCGTCGGCAAATCATATATGTAAAATACTGATTCGCCCGTCGCTTACTGAAATTATTAAGCATTTTAAATTTTGCCCTTTCTTATAATTTTAGCTCTGAACCCTCCAACCCTTTGCCATCGTCGTCGACGTCAACTACTGGTAAACAAACAGGCAAATATAGCACTACTGCTCCGGCGAAAATCAATCCAAGTTTATCTAATGCTACCGAAACCAAAGTCAGTAAGAACCACCAAAAAAAATACCAATTTCAGCAACACAAAATCAAGAAATGCCGGAATAATATAAACAAAATTATGCAACTCAGAAATCACGGAATAGGGTGTTAAATTTTATAAGTTTAAGGACATGTAATGACGAAATCCGAACAGACTAGAAAAAAATTATTGAGATAACTGCTCATACGTAGTAATACATATATATGTATATAATTTGCAGGGCATATAACTTTTTTGTACTATAGCATAGCGAGGCATAAATTAAGGTAAAGCATTTTTTAAGATTATATATATATATATATATATATATATTGTTTTTTTAAGTCCTTAATCCTGCTTGTGAGATCTAGGGAGATAACATATTTTTTCTGCTAAATGGTAATTTATGCCGCGCTATACTAGGCTTTTTTACGACGTACATATAAATTACTAAAAAAAACAACAATTTGTAACGGCTTTGTTAGCAAGAGGACGTTGACCATAACTAGTAGCTTTCATAGTTTTATGTGTGAAAACTGGTTACGCTTTTGTTGAACATCTAAAGTGATTTTTTCCAGAGCTCGTCCTTGTCGACGCCGCAAAGCAGCAGTCGTTTGAATTTGCGCGAACGACTGAAACGCAAAATGCAAAATTTGCTCAACAAGCAATGTAAGTACTAATCAATTCAAGCAACTTCATAAACCTCTTAGCAAATACACATACATACATACCTATGTATACATATATGTCTGTACTGTAGCCACAAAACATATTTATCCTTTGTTTCTCACCACTTGTAGACAAAGCGGACAAACGTGCTGAAATCGAGAAATGGCAACGTGAAAGGCAACTGCAACAGGAGCGCGAGGATGAAATGCGCGAAATGGCACTCAAACTGAGACGAAGGTAAAATATGATAATGAGATGGTTACTTGTAAACGTGTTTAACTGCATTCCTGCTTGATTTACTGATTTAGTTTTTCTTATTGGTGCATTACAGGCAACGCGAACTGCGCCATCGCTACGGCACCCCATCAAGTGGCAAGGGTTCTGATAGTGATGCTTCGGGAGCATTAAAATCCGCGCAACCAACAGCGCAACGGCGCAGTACGTCGAGAAGTAGTGAAACCATTACCGCGCCTGCCACAGAAAAGAAACTAACACAAAGTCATCAACATAGCACGGGCCGTGGGAATGATGACAAGGCGGAAGAGCAGCATCATTCAACAGTAACTCATCACCAACATAGATCCCTACATCGTAGTAGTAGTCGGGAGCGTGCGCATCGTTCACGCAGTCGCAGCCAGTCTTACTATCAATCGCAGCGATCAGCAGGCTCTAAACGGCGCTCTCGTTCCCGTTCGCGTAATCGTCGTAGCGCTTCGAGACGTCGGCGACGAAGTGCATCACGTTCTCGTTGGCAGCGTGACACCAGCCGTGAACGCGCGTCACGTCATCAACGCACTCAACGTTACGATGAACGTGAACGTGAGCGGGAGCGTGAGAGGGACATAGATAGAGATCGCGATCGTGATCGCGGCAGGCGTTCACGTTCAAGAAATGAACCACGGCCTAGAGAAAGTTATCGTGACCGTGATAGGGATAGGAATAGGGATCGTGAGCGCGAACGTGAACGTGAACGCGACAGGGATCGTGATAGGGAAAGAGATAGAGACAAACATCGGCATCAACGCGATGCTCAATGCTACAGACAGGAGACTGCCACAAGCAGTGGCAGCAGTGCTAATACTAATAGAAACCGCATTGTCATATCTGCGCCACCAAAACTAAAGAAACTAGTTGATTACTAGATTAGAGACTGGGAAGAATGCAATATCTTCCATGTGCGGTAATTGTTTCGAGTTTTTTTGTTGTTTACTTTTTCTATGTATGTAAATAAGGGTGGAAATTTTCGCAAACAAAAACTTTAGTAATATTTAATTGGAAAGAGTTACTTAGTAATAAACATCATTGAATTGTTGAGACAAATACCTACCATATAACGATGGCTGTTATTCTATTTTTCTTGTCTTGAATACAGGTTTGTATGTCTATATTAAGTATACATCGTGCACAATGTTATACATACATACATACATATTTAATGAAAATGCACATGGGGAGCAGTATTTTTGAGGCCGCAAATTGATGGGTTTATATTAAAATACTTCTCCCTTTATACTGATCGTATTTATTTTTTGCTTAGAACGTAATAAACTTTGATAATGCTCTTATGTTGATTTTCGCTTCCTCCGCAAGGTTTTGTAGAGTTGGTTATTGGATAGCGAACAAACCCTTCATATTCTATTAGCCTGTAGTCCAAAAAAGAGTATTCTTTGAGGACCTTCCAGGCAGAGATCCTAATCATTAACTAATAGACTGACCACAGTGATGTCTCCAGCGCTAAATTGTGGTGGGAAAAAAACAATTTATATTCGGGCTTGTTCGAGATGCAATCACAACCGCAGTGTTGCACGTATTATTAAAGTATCACGTTCGGTCTGAATTTCTAGCAACTTTTTATCAGTTAGAAATCTGCAACAGTACTGCAAATTTTCATCAGTGCTGCAGTATTGCTGCTTTCATTACGTGTCTCGAACAGGCCCTTAGTTTTAACTAAAATGCAGGTGTGGGGCTTTCCCATACCCTGAGTATTAAATATGGCATATTTCGGGGTCTGCAAGCCACAGATACTTGGCTCTTGAACCAGTGTAATATCTACTTCGCGTGAGGACAGGATCCCCTATCTACCACCGACCCGTCAGCTTCGCCTCACTGAGAAGCTCACACTCAGTATAAAGCCCCTATACGGCCTCTTTCCGAGCTAGACGAAGAGAACGCGCTCAGCTCTTCAATCGCTGTACATTCATCCACTTCCATTTCGATGTCGCGCAGGCTGCTAAGTTCACAGGGCTTCGGTGTCTGTTCGAGACTTTTAGGGTAATTTTGCCAAATACATAGTTCGCCTTGAAGTTGGTTATTTTTCGTTATTGATGAGCATGACTACCTGAGTTGTTGCTCGGTCCGTCGGCTCCGTATTCACAATCCTCCAGTTGTGTTCCGATAGAGTCACAGGAACCCAGGCTCTCGCTCAAGGCACGACGGGATGTCTAGGTCTTCTATAACCTTTAGGTGGGCCACCGAATACATCTCGCCTATTTTGTCGGTCGCAGCTTTGAATACCTCCACCGATTTGCTCTGATCACAATCAATTAGCTTACTTTCCCGGGAAACAGCCAACATCCGTGCACGATGGTGTCGGTCTAGGGTTTTCTTTCTTCACCTGCAGCGCCACTTTTCTAAGGCGGCATGTACCCATCTCCATTGGCTCCTGGGCATTCAGCCTTCTTCATTGCTTTCATCGATTACGCCATTTTACCTTCCGGACCCTAGCTATTTCAGCAATTAGCTCGGCCCTTTTCGGTGTCTGCGGCTGGACTTCGTCAACAGATCTCTTCCATTTGTAATCCCTATATCGCCATTCTGCTTAAGGGCGTTAAGGGGACCTGACTGGGCTGGTAAAAGGCCCAGCCAGGCTGATCGTCGGCACCTTGCTCCGGCTTGAAGAAAATAAAGGAGAGGAAGCTGGCAGGGGTTTAGGTCATTTCATTTTCATTGGCACTATTTTAGCTGAGTTTAAAAGTTTTGTAGGTTCTTCTTGGCCGTTAACAAGAAAAGGGAGTGTCTACTTACACGCGCCACGGTACCTTTTACCGCGGATCCACGGTAAAAATTACGCCGAAATGTATCTAGTGTGGTGTTAAGGCGACGTTGATCACTAATTGAAGCGTGACCTCCGTCGTTGTTGGTTTCGTTGTCAGGCTCCGTGCGGCGAAGAAGCGAGAAAGTTTGGAGAGAAAAGAATCTACGACTAAAATAGATGATTATGGGTAGATGGTCCGATGCAAGGGATTTCATAGGTCGCCGCGTTATGCTATTTATTAGATCCCCGCTACCTATTGTTCAATCTGGCGAGCTGCTGCATCCACCCAAAATCCTGGTTGGCCGCAGCTATCAGTATTGCATGTCGACAACGATTATCCCTTCGACGTTGCTCTGGAATTGGTTGAACTTCAATTGTACAAGTTTTGCGTGCTTTGAGAAGCTGATCGCTATGCGGGGGTGACATGTAAGTGGGGCGGTCTGTTGTTGTTATTGTAGCAGCTACAAGAAACTCGCCCAGATCGGCTGGTATCTCAGTCGTTGTCGTCAAGCTCAACTAACGGAAGACCCAGGAAGCGTGTATCTTCTATAGGGTATGTCCACAGGGACAGAGGAGTTAGTTGTGTAGGGTTTTCCGGGCAAATGATGAGATATTACGAGTCGTGTATGCGGACACTAATTTGGCATATCTGCATTTTATCTGTTCAGGCATGAGTTCAACCTGCTGCAATAGCCAGAGCGAGGTTAGGCTATTGTGTTCCGAGTCTCCCGAGGTAGACGAACGGCATTCACAGGACTGGAGTCTGCACAGCTCAGGGCCTGTCAATATGCTCACGGGTGCAGAGGTTGCTTTTAAAACCTCTGGACTTCGTCCGTTAGTTCGTAAAGTAGCCTTCTGACATGCCTTGGCGAAGCCTCTGTGTCCACCTCTGTGGCTCCCTACTAAGAATTGCTTACAGAGTATTGTGTTCTGCTCCTTTATGGGGAACATTTTCGCATAAAGGTGGTGTTCTGGCGACATCAGAAGACATTCGGTCGCTGTCCGAAGTGCTGCGTTCTGTGCTATCTGCAGCTTCATCCACTGCGTCCTACTGGTCCCCGGCGACCACTCGTGCTGCTTAATTTAGTATCAGCCGGCCAATTGCCTTGTATGTTGCTAACAAAGTTTCTTTGTCTTTGCCCCAGGTACTGCCGGCTAGCGACTTGAGGACCTTGTTGCGTCTCTGTACTTTGTTGACAATTGCGGATGCTTGCGCAGAGAAGACTGGCGAAAGTTACTCCGAGTATTTTTGAGTTATTCACCGTCGGAATTGGTGTGTCATCAACGTGAATAATCCGAGGTAGTCTGACCTCCTTCGTGCAAGTGCTAAACAAGGTCGCAGAGGATTCTGTAGGGGCTCATCCCTCTTCCACCCTTTGTTTGTAGAAGGAGGAAGGCCTATAATATATTCACACTGACTTATTGAACGAGACAACGACGTTCACAATACCATAGAAAAGCGATAATCAAATAATAGTCATTTATCTACTACCAGTCGACACTCGCAATAGGGGTCATAATAGGTAAACAGTAATGGGGAAAGAACACCACCCTGTGGATTTCTAGATTTGCTCGATTTGTCTAAACATTACTGACGAGTGTCGACCATTCTGATAACTCGCCGACCACCGTTTGAGTCTCTGTGGGAGAGAGGAGGCCTCTATGTCTTCTAGCAGCGTGGAGTGGCTGACGGTATCAAACGCCTTTGACAGGTCCAACGCTACTAGAAAAGTTCTCTCACAGGGGCGGTTACGGTTTAGGCCACGTGTTATCTGAGTGTTTATGGCGTTAAGTGCTGTTGTTGTGGGTTAGGTGGTTCGTAGAAAATGGGAGTAGCAAGGCCCCTAGTGTCTCCGCTACTGGGGAAAGAAGTATTATCGGATGATAAGACTCCTTTGTTGGATGGTTTCCCCGTTTTGAGCAGTGGGACCACTCTTTCCATCTACCAGATGTCTGGAATGACGAGAGTGGCCATTGATAGGTTGAGAACCTTGGCTAAAGTCGACTCCCGCAGGACCCAAATTTTTCAGCATCAACATGCATATTCCGTCGGGTCCCATGGCTTTGGAGGCTTTCGTCTTCCCGATATCTACCTGAACTTCACCGCAAGTGAAAACAAGAGGCGCACTAGTTGTTGGCAGTTTGTGCAGCCTTCTGGTCACTCGACGCTTGGCTTTGTCCATCCGAGGATGCAGTATGAATTGCCGGCTAAAATAGCTCGCCCATCGCTACGGATCCGACGAAGCACGGTCGCCGATAGTGATTTCGGCTCTATCGTCGCGCTTTGTCCGATTGAATAGTGACTTCACGGCTGACCAAAGTTTACTCACGCCCCCGTTCACCTCCTAGCTTAGGATATAAGTAGCTTTGAATTTTACATTAGAAAAAGCTAATAAATTTTGACTCTTGATAGTGTTTTCATAAATTAAAAGTTATTTGTCTTTGAAGTTTAAAAAGCAAAATTTTAAGTGTGCAAAAGTTCAAAACATTTGAAAAAAAACAACATAACAGAAGAAACCCATAGTGAAAATAGCGATAGGCAAAGCGACTATAGGATAAATTGTTCAGTTTATGGAAAGCGATTTCCATTATCCAGAGCAAACGCTTGAGCAGCAGCAGCAGATTGAGTCCACTGAAGAGAAATCTTTAACTAGCATTGCTAGTGATCATTGTACACCGCAGAATAGTGAACAGCGTTTGATTCCTTTGACACAAGAAATTGTTAAGGCAATGATGGAATTTGACGGCTCCCAATCGAGTACGAGTCTTTCTGAAAAAAACTTTTATAACACTTTTTCCATAACAAGTTTGGTACGCGAAGAGGTGCAAAACATTTTGCAGGAACTATGTGTCACTGATCAGTTTATACGCAAGGAGGAAATTGATGCGCTGATCGAGCGCTGTCTGCGCGAAAAAGTGACAATCGACTGCAAGAGTACAACGACTAGTGCTGAATCTCTGCCGCCTGATAGTCAAGAGATCGAAGTAACGGTCGAAATGCTTAACGAGACAGATAAGAACAAATTAATCGTTGAGAATTTTCAAATATTGGAGCAACGCATCACAAACTTGGAGGAACGCATTTCAACTGTGCTGCAGACTGTACCGAAATTGCGCCATTTGCAAGCGAAAAAATTCAAAATCAACACGGAGATTATACGCGAAGAACTGCGAAATGTTGTGCAAAGAATGGTCGTAGATGAAGCCACAAAAGTCTTACCCACTTCTGAACTGAGATCGGCAATTGATGGTGATGTAAATGGAATAGCAACAAAAGCAACAATAAGCATCACTGGTACAGAAAAAGAGA